ATTTGCTGCAGAAGGTCAAGGTCTGTAGTCTTCAACATGGACTAAAGCTCAACATCAAGAAAACAAAGATTCTTACCACCGGGCCAATTGGCCATTTTTCTCCATGATATATCAAAAAGAGACTGAGGTTGTTAACAGTTACAGCATCCATGGCTCCACAATCAACATTCTTGGCACCAGCAGTCAGGAAATCAAAAGACATATTGCATTGGGAAAATCTGCTACCATGGACCTCTCCAGAGTACTGAGAAGCTATGATATGTCTAGAGACTAACGTGCACCTGATCCAGGCCATGGTCTTTGCAATTACTTGCTATGCATCAGAGATCTGGACAATGACTAAGGATGACAGAAGAAGAATTGATGTCTCTGAGTTGTGGTGCTGGAGAAAAGTATCATATATACCATGGCCTGATAGGAGTACAAATAGGTCTGTCTTGGACAGGGTGAAACCAAGTTTCTTCTTGGAGGCAAGGGTTTTTAAGCTTTTCTCACATACTCTGGCATATGGCCAGGAGGGACCAGTCCTGGGAAAGGTGGAGGGACAGCACAGGAAAGGAAGAACCCGGATGAGATGGATTGACATGATAACGGAGACAATGGGATTAGGTGTGTTCAAGTCAGTGAGACTGAGTCAGGATAGGGCAGGATTCAGAGCTATTGTACATATGGTCACTATGAGTCACAGGTACAAGCCTTCCAGAGAAGCAAAGAATTCCCTTAGCTGATGAAGAGGTTTCCAGAGATGCCAACTTAGCTGAAGTAGCTCAGAAATTCTGTGGTTATTAGATGCCATGGAGTCAACTACAAGTCACAGAAACTCTATGAAAAATGGCCTAGGGAAGAATATTTATTTCTGTTGTTGTTTTTGTTTTTATTAGGCGTCAGAGTCATTTTCTACTTATAGAGGGTCCATTTGACAGTAGAACTGCCTGCCCCATAGGGTTTTAAAAGTTGTAATATTTACAGAAGCAGAGTGCCAAGTCTTTCTCCCACAGAGCTATTGGGTGGATTTGGTCCATGAACTCTTTGATTACTGGCTTAGCAATTTTCATTAAAAGGCCTCTAAATATGTCTCTAAGAAAAGTCTGATAGTAGAAAAGAGAAAGGAGTTGTGGTGGGCAATACATATTGACTCTGAAGATCTTTTCCATTAGTATAATATTGTAATATACCACAAAATGTTGTAATGTGCCGTCAATTTGCCTGCAACTCATAGTGACCCTATGTTCAACTCCTAAATCCTGCTGTATTCTGTGCCAATTTTATTGTCTCTGACACACTTACCCCATTAACCGAGTCACTGAATCAATCCATCTCATTGAGGATCTTCCTCTCCTGTGCTGTTCCTCTACCCTCCCAAGCATGACTTCCCTCTCCAAGGACCGGTCCTGTCTTGCAACATGTCCAAGTATGTCAGACAAAGCTTCCGAATCCTTGCCTCCAAGGAGCAGCTTGGTCTCATCCTCTCTAGGATGAACCTGTTTGCTCTCCTAGCAGTCCATGGTATACAATACTCTTCTCCAGCACCACAGCTCAAGAGCATCAATTCTCCTTCTATCATCCCTAGTCACTGTCCAGCTCTCTGAAGCATAACACTTAATTATGAAGACTAAGGCCTAGATCAGGTGTACCTTAGTCTCCAGACTGACATCGCTGATCTTTAGTACCCTTGGAGAGATCCCTGAAAGCAGACTTTCCCAATGCAATTAGTCTTTTAATTTTCTGGCTGTTGGTACCAAGAGTGTTGATTGTGGAGACAAGCAAACTAAAGCTGTTTATAATCTTAGTGACTTCACCATCTATCATGATGCTGCCTATTGGATCCGTGGTGAGAATCATTGTTTTCTTGATGTTGAGCTTCAATCCATACTGAAGGCTGCAGTCCTTGACCTTCTGCAGCAAGTGCTTCAGGTCCTCCTCAGTTTCAGCAAGCAGAGTAGTGTCATCTGCACAATATAGGTTGTTGATGAGTCTTCCTCCAATCCTGATGCCACATTTCTCCTCATACATCCCAGCCTCCCAGATGATCTTTTCTGCATATAGATTGAAAAGATATGGAGATAGGACACATCCTTGGCACACATCCTTCCCAATTTTGAACCATGCAGTATTTCCTTGCTCTGTTCTGATGACTGCCTTCTGGTCAAAGTATAGGTTTCACATGAGTATGATCAAGTGTTCTGTGATTCCCATTCTTATCAGAATCAGTCACAGTTTGTTGTGATCCACACAGTCAAATGCTTTTTCATAGTCAATGAAACACAGATAGACATTCCTCTGGTACTCCCTGCTTTCAATCAAGATTCATCTAACATTAGCTATAATATCCCTGGTACCACGGCCTCTTCTAAACTCAGTCTGCACTTCAGGCAGTTCTTTATTGATGCACTGTTTTAGTCGTTTTTGGATAATTTTCAGGAGAATCCTGCTTTCATGTGATATTAATCATACTTCAATAATTTCCACACTGTCAGGTCACCTTTTTTTGAAATGGAACAAGTGTAGATATCTTCTAGTCAGTTTGCCAGTTAGCTGTCCTCCAGATTTCTTGGCACAACTTTGTGAGTACATCCAGGGCAACGTCTGTTTGTTGAAATATATCAATTGGTATGCTATCAATTCCTCAGGCCTTTTTTTTTGCCAATTCTTTCAGAGCAGCTTGAACTTCTTCTTTCATCACCACAAGTTCTTGCACATATGTTATTTCATGAAATTATTTTGTGTCAGCCAATTTCCTTTTGGTACAATGACTCTGTATACTCTTTCCATCTTCTCCTAGTGCTTCTTGGATGATTTCATATTCTGCCCAAAGTATCCTTAAGTATTGCAACTTGAGCCTTGAATTTGTTCTTCAGTTCTTCAGTTCTTTAGCTTAAGAAATGCTGAGCGAGGCTAGATGTTTGTTGGTGGGGTCCTAAGATGGCTGCTGGGTGGATGCTTCCTGGGTGAGATGTGGAGTGCATTACTGCCTCCTGGCCTAAATGAAAGTGATCTTGAGTTGAATTCTGAAGATGAAGCCACACCAGAAAGCTCTGCACTTCACCCACAGGAAGCTGAGAATCAAGTGACCAGAAAAACAGAAACCTGTGATTTCCCCACAAATGGACCAAAACCAGAAACAGAGGCAAATGTAAATGCCTCTCAAAAGTGACCTTCTGGAATTTCCTTAAGCATGTGGAATACATTTCAAGAATTTCAGAAAAAAAATTGGGAGCAGAAAACCTCAGCCTCAGTGGAAGGAGCTTACTCAGTATTTTGGAGTGATCTCCCTGTGAAAAAGACAAAGACTGACAAGTAGGGTCTTGAAAAGAGAATAGACCAGGCTGTGGATGAGTGGAATATTGAGAAGGCCAAGAAGCTCAGCAGTAACCAGCTCGTTACTCAAGAGCTTGGTGTGAAACTGCCAAAGCTATTGCATGCCACAAGGATGCTGAAAATTCACAGGTGGTTCAAAAAAAGAAGAAACTTGTGTGGGGATTTGAAGCAAAGAAGAGATGGGAAACCACAAGCAACATGGGCTACATGTAACTTGCCAGGGTTCTTCATGATCTGTCTAGACTCCCAAGCATGAAATTTACTGAGAAGATTTTCCCGTTTACTTAAATATACCCGGAAACTGATAAAAGTGGAAAAATTAAGCATAAAATTTGAGAATTGATTATCAGACCATTTCAATCTATTTTTCTAAAGTGCTTATTCTATTGAAACAGAGTGTTCAGGTATGGGCATAAAAAATCTAAGCATATGCACGGAAAGGAACAGCAGGATTTATTTCTGTATGTGTGTAGACCTGTAATATGAAGTCAGCTTTCCTTCTTATCCCTTCAGTGGAGCACTATCATACTTTCTTGTCCGTTCTTGGTTTAACATCACCACTATTGGAGTTTGGTTTTAAGGTTGGTATTTGTTTACAATGAATTAGTCATAAGTGCTCAGGGAGCCTCACTTGATACTGTCTTTCACCAATGACTTTAATTACCTTAATGTTGCAAAAGTCATTATTGACTCTTTATTGGGAGGCAGTAGAGTTGGTATTTCACAGTCACATGGTAAAAGCAATTTTTGTGTACCTTCAGATAAAATATTTCAATAAAAACCATCACAGACTGTAAAAAAAAAAAAAGAAATGCTGAGTGAGTTCATCAGCCCCTTTGATTTTCTTTGCACATTTCATAATACTTTGTCTTTCCTCTCTGCGCTGCCCTTTGAAACCATCTGTTCAGCTTCATAATATCTTGATTTCTTCCCTTTGCTTTGGCTTCTCAGTGCTCTAGTGCAATATTCAGAGTCTCTTCTGACATCCATCTTGGTCTTTTTTTCTCCTCTGTCTTGTAATGACTCCCTGCATTCTTCCTTATGTGCCACTGAGTCACCTGCAACTCATAATGTCCAATGTACTATAGCTCTGAACCCTGCCCTATCCTGAGCCAGTCTTACTGACTCCAACACACCTAATCTCATTGCCCCAGTCATTGTGTCAATCCATCTAATGTACACTATGATAACTATACTGAGAAAATATGGAAGTGATAAATCTGCATGGATTAGAAAAGTGCAGGGGGGAAAAGTATAGAAAAAGTGTAATTAGAAAAGTGTAGGGGAGCTCTAGTGGCCTAGTGGCAAGAAGCTGCACTGCAATCCCAGAGGCGCACAGTTCGAATCCACCAGATGCTCTGCCGGGGAAGGAGGGGCCATCTCCTCCTGTACCAGTCAGATCTGATTTGACGGTACCCACAAATTAAAAATTAAAAAATTAAAAAAAAAAAAAGAAAAGTGTAGGGGAGAAGAGTTGAAGTTAATAGATAATGCTTAAAAGTGGAAAAGAGATGAGTTATCAATAAAAGGTATCTTTCTCACAGCCACTGCCATACATTGAGACTGCCCAGGGCCAGGAAGACCTGCAGGGCATTGGGCGACTCTGTGTCTCGCGGATGAAAACTAACTAACTATATGACACCAAGAGGCAGAATGCCAGTGTAGGCATTTTTCATGCAAACCTTCTGAGAGGAGCACAAGCAGCAGCACCCAGATGCTTTTGTCAACATCTCAGAATGTTCTAAGAAGTGCTCAGAGAGGTGGAAGACCACATCTGCTAAAAAGAAAAGTGAATGTGAAGATATGGCAAAGGGAAACAAGGCCTGTTGTTATGAGAGAGATGAAAACCTGCATTCCCTCCTAAAGACAAAACAAAAAGAAGTTCAAAGATCCCAACATATCCGAGAGTCCCCCTTTGGCCTTTTTCTTGTTTTGTTCTGAGTAGCACCCAAAATCAAAGATGAGAACCCTGGCCTTTCCATTGGTGATGTTGCAAAGAAGCTGGGAGAGATGCAGAATATAATTGCTGCTGATGACAAATAACCATATGAAAAGAAGGCTACTAAGCTTAAAGAGAAGTACGAGAGAAATATTGCTGCACACAGGGCTAAGGGCAAGCCCGATGCAGCCAAAAAGGGAGTTGTCAAGGCTGAGAAAAGCAAGAAAAATTAGAGGAGACAGAGGAATACTATAAAGAGAATGATGAAAATGTTGGCTGTAGCACTGGTATTTGGGTTTGGGTTTTTTTTTCTTTTTTTCTTGTCTATAAAGCATTTCCTTTTAACAAAAAAAACCCCTGACATGTAAGGCTGTGTAATATTTCTTTTTTAAACTATACAGTGTCTTTTTTTTTTGTATAGTTAACACACTATCAAATGTGTCTTTAGATAGCCCTGTCCTGGTGGTATTTTTCATAACCACTAACCTTGCCTGGTACAATATGGAGATTGTAAATTGGCATGGAAATTTAAACCTGACTCTTGTTGGCACACAGCACAAATTCATTACATATGAGGATGTTAGTTTTGGGGGTTTTCCCTATCTTTAGGTGTCTGATGCAACTTACACAAAATAATTTTGTTCTGTTAACTGAATACCTCTCTGTAACTGCAGAGAAAGAAAAAGTTGTAGCTATTTCGTTGACATTCTGAATGCTTCTAAGTAAATACAATTGTTTTTATTGTTGTTTTTGTATTCCATCAAGTTGGAACTGACCCACAGCTTACCCTCCAGTGGGTTTCCAAGGGCAGTTAATCACACAGAAGGAAGCTGCCCATCCTCCCTCCCATTGAGCAGCTGGTGGGTGTCTTCAGGATTACAGTGTTAGTTTCTTGCCACTAGGCCACCAGACTTCCCTCGCGATGGCTTTTATTATTGTTGTTGTTGTTATGTGCCGTCGAGTCGCCTGCGACTCATAGCGACCCTATATACAACAGCCCTAAACTCCGCTCTGTCCTGTGCCAATAGCACTGTCTCTGACACTCCCATCCCAATTATCCCAGTCACTGAATCAATCCACCTCATAAAGGGCCTTCCTCTCCTGCACCGTCTCCACCCTCCCAAGCATGATGTTCCTCTCTAAGGACCGGTCTGTCCTCACTACAGGTCCAAAGTAAGTTAGACGGAGCCTCAGAATCCTTGCCTCCAAGGAGCCACCCGATTTAACCCTCTCCAGGACAAAAAAAGAGCTCTCTTATATGGAAATGTAGACAATTACCAAAGGAAATAATCTTCCATAAAAATTTGAGGTGGTTTTCCAACTAGACAATGAGGTATGCATGTGAGTGGTAGAAAGGAAGCTGTCATATTTTTGTAATAAACTGCATGATCCTATGTATATATATGGCTTCAATAGGCATAAGAACAATCTATGTTCTACAGAAGGTGAAGAGTGTTCATCATTCTATCATGTAAAGTTATCCACTTGAAAACAAGGATTTTCAGCCCTTCACAATATAGAAATCTGAGGCACTCACAGACAGGTACAAAACATCATGCTCCATTCCTGAGCATGTGAGTCCTAGATGTAGTCCTAGATTGTAGGACTCACATTCTTTTCCTGATGCTTAAAAAGCCAGAAAATATTGTTCTTGTTGTTGTTAGGTACCAAATCCACCTCTGATTCTATATATCACTCATTCATTGTCATCAAGTGGAAACTCCAGCAGTTTTCAAGGGCAGTAAATCTAATGAAAGGAGGTTGCCTGTGTCTCTTCCTTAGAGCAGCTAGTGGAGTCTAGCCCCTTGCCGTTGGGTTAGAAGTGTAACTTCTTACTCACTGTTGTTGTTTTGTGCTGTTTAGTCAGAACTAACTCACAGGTGACCCTCCAGTGGATTTTCAGAGACAGTAAATCACACTGGAGGAGCCTGCCCACATTCTTCTGAAGAGTAGCTGATGGATTTGGGTTGGCAGCACAGCTCCTTACCACTAGGCCACCAGAATGCCCCCATTTACCTACTAAGCCTCATTTACCTACTAAGTCACCAAAATTCCTTGGACTCACATGTAACAGAATGAAACTCCACCATCTTCACAGCTGTTACTATGCTTGAACCCACTGTTGAAATGTGTCTTGTTGAGTGACTGACAGTAATTGACCCTGGTCATTGGGAGGATTTAGTATAGGTAAGGAAACCCAAACCACCATATCAGGGCATACCTGAACAGACAAACACAGGTACCAACTATACTACCAACCCAATCCCACTGCATCCCAGTCCTTTTGACTCAGAGCAACCCTTTTTGAGGCTATACATATTTACAAGAGGAGATTAACCATCTTTCTCACACAACAGCTAGTGTTAGCTGTCCAACACTTAACGTATTACACTAAGACTTCAAACTATACTACAGTGCTGTCTAAAATTCCTTCTATATACAACAAAATACTTGAAAGTTCTTTCACAATGAAAGGAGACAGAAGAAAAGAAAAGCCCATTTGCCTAACAAAGTACATCTCATGATTTAGCTAGTAGATCAACACCCACAAGTGCATTTGAAAAACATCTGCTGATAGTCCTCTATCTTCTGCTACTCAAATTCTAGCAAATTATGTCAAAGCATGAGGAATTCATGGGCATTCATAAATTGCATACATCATAAGTTGAAGACATCACTGTGACAGATAATGATGGAAAACAGCTGATGACAGGACAACTAAGAGCACAGTAACCTGCTGGCATCCTATAATTCCTCTCCTTGCCCTTTCAGAGGGCCCAGAATAGGAAACTGACCAGTTCCCAAATGGAGTAAACAAAAGATTACTGATTATTTATCCTGAGTTTTTTATCTACACAACTGGCCTTAAAATAAGGGTATCAAACAAATAGATCTGTGTTGAGAGAGTGAAACCAGGTTGCCGCTTGAAGGAAAGGTTTTTGAGGCTTTGTCTCATATACTTTGGGCATGTGGCCAAGAGACACCAGTCCTTGGAGAGGAACATCATGCTTGGAAGAGTGGAGAGATGGAGCAGGACAGGAAGTCCTTGAATGAGATGGATTGACTCAGGGACTGTGGCACTGGAGATAGGTATGTCAGAGACAGTGAGATTAGCTTAAGAAAGGGCATGATATAGAGCTCAAAGGGTTGTTATGAGTTGGAATCAATGGCATAACAACAACTTCTTAGCAGAGAGATAAAACCAGGATGCTCCTTAGGGACAAGGATGGTGAAATTGTATCTCATACTTTGAGCATGTTGTCACCAAAGGTGAAGGAGAAGACCCTCAAAATGGACTTAAGAGTGTCAGAGATGGTGGAGGAAAGGGAAAAGTTCTGATATGTTATTTGCAGGGTCACAATGAACAACCACCACCACCACCCAACAACAGCATCCACCCAGGCTCCTGTGTTCAAAGTCCTCAGCTCTGCAAGCCTGGATAGAAAGGAGTTGAGCAGGGCCAGGCCTGAGCCAGGTAAGAGATGTACAGTGCAAGAAGCCACTGCCAGCTTCCTCTACATACTGCATGAAAAAGAAAGAAGCAGAGAGAATGGAGAATCTATAGGGTTAGTGAAAGAAAGGAAGACCCTCAGCAAGGTAGACTGACACAGTGACTGTAGCAATAGCATCAAGTGTGTCAGACACGATGAGGATGGCATGGGACAGGGTTCAGATCTGTTGTTAATATGGTAGCTATGACTTGTACTCAACAGGGCGGCACCTAACAACATGTTTTGGCCAATGAGGACTCAGACAATGGTCTGTACAAACAAGTACAAAAAGTACCTCTGTGACAGCCTGTGAGGTCAGATACTTCACACGGAAACAAGGGTGCCATTCACTGCTAAGGCAGAAAGCTCCTTCTGTGGTTGTGAACTTTGGGATAACCTAATGAAAACTGGGGCTCCTCTCACCATAATGGGTGCTTAAAAAACGCTCAAAGGCTCACCGCCTATGGCCAAACGCCCTAGGCTTGTTTTTACAGCGACGCTTCACAGCAGACCCTACCTAAAGCAGGCGGATCAAAAAACCACGGGGAGGAGCCAAGGCTCCTTCCTGCATCTTTTCCAGGGCGGGTTCTCAAGCCCAGCAGAGGAGCAGCAAGAAGGGGAGAGGGAGGAAGACATTCGCGGTCAATGCTGCTCGCGGACGAAGATCCTCGGGGAGATGGATGCTCTTCCCTCCACAAGCCCCGTACCTGCAGGACCCTTGGCGTCCGCGTCCTCCGGGACCTCTGGCACCAGATGGTGGGAGTCCTCTCGCTCGGGGCTCGCTGGAGCGGACGGCGGGGGCGAGGCTCCCGGTGCCTCGGGGCAGGGGGATCCCCTGCCGCCTGACGACGAGGTGTCCTCCGAGGAGCAAGCCTGGCCCCAGTCGTCCCAAAACCAGGGGTTGTGCGCCTGCTCGAGCAGCCGGCGACTCTGGCGGTAGTGCAGCAGCTCGCGGTAGCAGGGCGCGTACATGTCCCAGCGCGGGTCCTTGTACCGCTTCATGTACTCGCTCTTCACCTTGCTCCCCGGGAACATGGCCCAGCTCAGGCCGCTGCGCCTGCTCCAAGAGTCCGAGCGCGCTCCCCTAGCCCAGGCCCCGCGGTGGAGACCTCGAGCCACTGCAGCCACCACCTAAGGGACCCCGACAGGAAACAACACAAGCCAGGGCCCAGCGCGCTCCCGCCCCAACTGTTCAAACCAGGGCCCTGCCCGCGGGGCGAGTTGGGAGCGGGCCTGAGCGCGCGGGGGTGGGGCCTAAAGGACGGAGGGGGACTTACCCCAAGTGGGTCGACACCGCCCCCCGCGCCCGGCCCTCCCGCCCATCTTCTGGCCCCAAGGTGGGCAGGTTGGTCCCGAGATGGGCGAGGGCCGGCTTTAGGTGGTTTTTACCTTCAGAGCCACGCCGGGGACCTAGGCCAGGGCGCAGAGCCCGCAGACTGGTGGAAGTAGAGTGTGAGGTTCTGGGGCTGGAGAGGCCCAGAGGGCAAAGGACGGCTGAGGCCTCCCAGGCCTCTGTTGCGTGCGCGGTGCTGGGGTGGGAGAAGGGAGGGGAGCAGCCGCGGCAGACAGGACTGTTACCTGCTGCGGCCCCGCCGACCGCACGCAGTCTTGCAGACCAGCCTCGGGCCACGGAGCTCTATCCTGCAGCCAGGTTTCAGGCCGCGGAGTTGGGTCCTGCAGTCTGACTTCGGGGCACAGGGCTGGGCTAGGCCCTTGGCCCCAGCTTTTCCTTGCGAGGAAGCTGAGGATTAACGGTTGCGGTGCGGAGGCTCCTGCTACAGCTGAGAGCGATAGCGCCGCCTAAACCCTTTTGAGAGCAAGCACCTCCCTCCGGCGCGTTTCTTCAGTCCCTCCACCCGACGCGGTGGGGAGGCGGCCCAGTGCTGGCAGCCTCTTCGGTGGAGAGGCGTGCGCACCTGGGTGCCTTGAGACTCCAGGCCCATCCCTGGAACAAATAGTTACCGGTCATACTGGGTCCCAGGCCCCCAGCACGCTGCGGTGGCGTAGGTGAGGTGAGGGCGATGTTCAGGCTTCCTAGGATCCTCTTCAGCCTTGACAGCTCTTCCCCCAAGCCAACACCATCATGTCTGGTCCCAAGTGTACTGAAGCTCCTCTTCCTCTGTGTTCACACATTGGTTGCTCCGACTTTAACCCTCCTTTTAGTGCACTTTCTTGTCTGCACCGCGAAACTTATCCTAAAATACTGTTTACAGCGGAATGGCTGCCCCCATCCACAACCGCTTCAGCTGGATTGTGGCAAAGTGTGGGACAATACGGTTATACCTTACAAAAGTGGTTGCCAGTTGATTACCATTTTTAAAAGAGTGTCTCAATGAGTCGCTACAAAAAGGTTTGAGAGGAATGAAACATTAGAAAATGAAAACATTTTAGCCGTTAAAGAGCAGGCCCTTGGCCATGAGTGAAGCCATATCTCTTCCACAGTGAGGTTCCCACGACTTTTCGCTTTTCCCTCGGGGCTGAGCCTCCTGGTGATTGTGGTTGTTAAATGACTTTGAGAGGCCTGTGACCCTATGTACAGAAGCTCTGAACCCAACAGTGTCCTGAGCCAGTCTCACTAATTCCAACACGCCTTTGAGCTGTGGTGCTGGAGAAGAGTATTGAATGTACCATGGACTGCCAAGAAAACAAACAGATTCATCCTAGAGAGGGTTAAACCAGGCTGCTCCTTGGAGGCAAGGATTCTGGGGCTTCGCCTGACATACTTTGAACATGTTGTAAGGAGAGACAGGTCTTTAGAGAGGGACATCATGCTGGGCAGAGTGGAGGGACAGCGCAGGAGGGGAAGACCCTCTATGAGGTGGATTGATTCAGTGACTGGGGTAATCGGGATGGGTGTGTCAGAGGCAATGAGATTGGCACAGGATAGAGCAGGGTTTAGGGCTGTTGTACATAGGGTCGCTATGAGTCGCAAACGACTCGACGGCACATAACAACAATAACAACAACAACCAACTCCCATTGTCCCAGTTACTGTATCAGTCCATCTCATCTAAAGTCTTCCTCTCCTGAGCTGTCTTTCCATCCTTCCAAGCATTTTGTCTTCCAAGGACTGATCTTTTCCTGGCCATGAGCCCAAAGTATGTAAGACGAGCTTCAAAATCCTAGCCTCCAAGGAGAAACTTGGTTTTACCCGCAGCAAGACAGATCTATTTGTTTTCTTGGCAGTCCATGGTGTATGTTCAAGACTCTCCTCCAACACCACAATTCGAAGGCATCGATTCTTCTGTCATTAATTGTCCAACTCCCCGAAGCATAGCAAGTAATTGCAAAGACTGTGATCTGGATTAGGCTCACCTTAGTCTCTTGACTGACATACTTGCTTTTTAGAACTCTGTGAAGTTCTCTGACGGCCGATTTTTCTAGTGCAATATTTCTTTCGATTTCCTGAGTACTGGTGTGAGGAGTGTTGATTGTGGAGCTGAGCAAGCAGTAACAACCTCACTCTTCACCATCATGCTGCTTCCAATTGGCCCAGTGGTAAGAACCTTTGTCTTCTTGATGTTGAGCTTCAATCCATATTGAAGACTATTGTCCTTGACCTTCTTCAGCAAGTGCTTCAGGTCTTAATTCAGTTCCAGCAAGCAAGGTTGTGTCATCTGCGTAACATAGGCTGTTGATGAGTTTACCTCCAATCCTAATGCCACATCCCTGTTTCCTGAATGATCTGTTCTGCATATAGTCTGAAAAGGATGCATCCCTGGCACACTCTTTGCCTGGTTTTGAACCATCCGATGTTTCCCTGCTCTGTTTTGAGAACTGCTTCCTGGTCCAAGTAATGGTTTCCCATAAACACAATAAAGTGTTCTGGGATTCCCATTTTCCCTCAAGGTTAGTCTCCTGGTGGTGTCCTTTAATCTCTTGCAGTGAGGTCAGCTGGAGGGAGGGAAGCCAGGTGCTGCCCAAAGGCCTCTGGGTAGTTGTGATGTGGGCTGAGGGCTGCACTGTCCAGGGTTTCCTCCCTCAGAAGTCAGATTGGCTCTCCCATATGACCTTCCCTTCCCTGCCCTTCCCTTATTGAAAAAGCATCTGCTGGAAGGATTACCTTCCCAAGGATAGCTAGCAAAGAGCTTGTTACTCAGTACAGAGAAAGGTTTTTTGTATGCTTAGCTGTTGCTAGGGATGTGAGGCAGCATGATTCACCAAAGCTGGCTGACACATGCATCCCTATACAGGAGAAAAGACAAGACTGAGGTTATCAGAACTGTGCAGATTGGGAAAACTGGGCTCTCTGAAAGATGGGACAGTGGGCAGAGAAAAACAAGGTCTATTTAGATATGTGATTTTTGTATTTAGATTACAAGAACAGGATGAGAAAAACCTTATTGTGGAGGATGAAGACAACTTTCTAAGACATTGGACCACCAAGGTACAACTGTTAAGACATCTTAACACAGTCCTAAGCCATATCTAAAGAATTGTATTTCTAAAGCTATTAAACACTAATGAGCGAAGGCCAGATGAGTTGTGGGAGGATATCAAGGGTATCATCCAGGAAGAGTGCA